CCATCAACTATGGGACCTTATATAGACGATGTGTGCTTTTCAAAATAATGTCCAATCTACTGAATTTACCACAGATGGACTTCAGTCATGTTGTAGAAACATCTGACATATTTTGAGTGCCATAGCAAAGGCTGCGAATATTTATGCTCATGTTTTGTTTTTTTTGTTCTATCAATGCGTTGGGTGGGTGCTAACTTCCTACAATTTAAGGCTTTAGTTTCAGTGAGTAAAATGGCTAAACGTCACTCATAGACCAAACCTAAACTTTTAAAGCCTTATCTACAGTAAAACAATCAAACACTACTGGAAACAACAGCACTTAAACATGTAATGCAGACGCAAGGCAGACTGTATTGCCCAACACATTAGTATGGAAATCATGGGAATTCAGTAAAATAAATTACATTCATGAATAACTAAAACTTGGTCATTTGCTAGATTTCTAGTCTAGATTTCTAGATACTTAACATTTCTGAATTTCTGCTTACCTGAACCGGCCTGTGTGGTGCCAAAACCCGAGGTCCAGCACTGAGTTCCTTGGACAAAGTTCTGGTTATATGCTGGCAGACAAGCAGGCTGAACTTTATCTGGTTAACACAAAAATATGTATTTAAAATTTTGCCAACACATCAGCCGCCTTGTGTGCTCAAAAGATAGTATTGTAGATAGATCTGTACATATACGGTAAAACAACTTCACTATGTAAAGCAGATTAACAGTTTGATTGTGAACTCACAGGCTTTCAAAGCTCAGACTGAGCAGCAAAGGAAATATTTTCATTGCTATTACTATCCTGCACTTTGTTTTAGTGTCTTGTTTTTGTTAATAATCTACATAATCTACTGTAGACTATATACAGCAGAGAGTAAGAGAAATACTTATCTGATCCCCTGCTGAATTTGGAAAAACTTTATGTGATGTGTATGGTTGCTTAAAATACAGCTATCATAAAAATTAAAGACTGTTCCTTTCTTTGAGCAAATTCAGCATGGGATCAAATAATTATTTCCCCCACTATACTGTGCAGAATATATATGCATAACACTCTCCATAGTGCTATTAAACACAGGTTTCATCATCGAAGGATTTCTGTGCTGGATATTTCCATGGAGGAAGCAATTAAATCCTTCACACACTCTGCTTTCCAACATGATGCCCACACACATGCTTATGTGATTATTAAAATCTGAACACAGCTATAGAGGTTGGGTGACTACACACATTTGTTAAAGAATGTAAAGATGCAACTAACCATTGAAAGTGACTGGGGATGTAAGTTTGAGAAGAACAACATCTTGGTCATTTGTTTTAGTGTTATAGTTCTCATTGACTATGATCTTCTCAACAAAGTATGGAACAGGCAGGTTGTTCAGCGACACCGTTCCACCATATACTCTCCAGTTCTGAGGGGATAGAGCCGAGTTGTCTCTGAAACCCCGAAAAACACTCTTCAATGGACAGCAACAGATTAATGTAGATTTCAGCACAGAATAATTGGCATTATGGTTTTTAAAATGTATGAATTTTGAATTGTTAACTGCAGCTGGACCTTAAAATATCTACAATTACAATGTACAGACTCTAGGAATCAGAGAGTTTATTAAGGTAGACTATGGTCAATTTAAGAGAGTGTGATAAAACATTTACAAAGGTATGTTTGTTTTATTTTCTTTTCTTTTTTTTTGTCACCTTGGGAAACAGTGGGCAGCAGAAAGCACAAAATCAGGGGAGATCAGGACTCCTCCGCAGACATGGGATCCTCTGAACTGTAGTGACAACTGCCAAGGCCAATGACCTATTTTAGCTATGGTGCCACCAATGATCCGGGACGTGGCCTGCTGCTTACCACAATCTGGACAGCAATGCAAGGTACCATGCAAAAGAAAGAAAGGGAAACAAAACTATTGTCAGCATACAGTTTTATCCTTGATGAATGCAGAAAAAAATACATTGTATGTGGCTGCGTTGCTGCTGCAGTGCTGTTAGATCTTCATAGGAGTCACAATGTTTTATGTTATCAAGGTCACCTAACAAAACACCTTGTGGCCATAACTTAAGAACTCTTTGAGTAATTTTTACACAACTTTAAACAAGTCTTAAGATTTTATGAGGCCAAATTTTAGCCAGTTAAGTAGCAGAGGGGTTTTCTTAACTGCTTTGATGAGGTCCTAACATCCACTATTGGCCCTGTGCTCACTACCAGAAATTGCAGACCCACCACTGGCACCCTGTGCTTTTCGCAGGTAAGAGCAGGTTCACCCTTACCATATCTGAGAGACATGAAAGGGTCTAGAGAAACCTGTATGTTATGGTGATATGATGGTTTGGGGAACCATATCCATGAGAGGATGAACAGACTTCTGCAGGCTAGACTATGGCCCCCTGACTGCCATTAGGTATTGGGATTAAATCATTGGATCCACTGTTGCACCCTACACTGGTGCAGTGGGTCCTGGGTTTATAGTTCATCATGATCTATAGAAATCTATAGAAATCTGGAATCGAAGGTATGGCAATCTGGAGATGTTATTGAAGCTCAAGTTACTTTGCTTTGGCCTTCAGGTCATTTGTATTTTGGGGGTTTTCTTCCTCTTAAATGTCTAATAGATTCTCTTTGGGATTCAGATCAGACCGGTTGGCCAAATGCAGTAATGATTATCAGCATTCTGATCATGATTGGTAAACCATTTAGCAGTAGTTATGGCATTGTGGATAGGTTTTTATTCCGTTAGGAAAAGGAATCGCCAACTAGAAATCAAGTCCTCATGAAGTTCTCTCTCCTGGTATATGGCTGCATTAACTTTTGATATGATAAAATATCACTGACATGATTTGGTGCCCCAAATCATCATAGACAGCAAAAGCACACAGGACTTCAAACACTTTGGATTCTGTCTCTGTCCTCTCTTTCCTCCAGACTTCAGGACCTTGATTTACAAATGAAATGCGAAATGCAATTTGATCTTTTAAAAGGACGTTGGACATAAAGTCCAGGTAAGACATTTTTGATATTGTTTCTCACATTCCTAATATCAAGATGTATTTGGTGGCTCTTAATGCTAAAATAGAAGCCTCTTTCCCAAATTCAAAGCTCTGCCAAGTTCTTTGACAATCCTTTCAAAGCTTCATCTTGCCTGTTAAAGTCAGCCTTTTCAGCAGTGACCTTCTGTGGCTCACCCTCCTGGAGGTTGTCAGTTATCATCATCTGAATAACCGTACAGCCAGCAATCATCCCCATGATTGCGACCGTGTGTACTGACCAAAGCTATCAAAAATTCTAACAGAAAAATGCTTGAACCTTGAAATTTTCAGAAAATGATTCAGATACTTTTGTTAGTATTGCACTGGCTAATAACTGCATTTCAGTCATAGGTACTGGGTGTAAGGCAGACATAGAAAAAGAAATAAAAAGTGTGTGACATATGACTGTAGGAACAGATGGAGGCTCCTTACCCACACACTGCAGGGAGACAGTCTGCTTGTTCGGACAGGGAGAACTGCATGTTGCCACAATAAGGGAAACATGTTAAAATGGGTACATGCAGTCAACCAATGCTAATGTTGTTAACCAACAAATCATATGTACCTGACATTTACCCGAGCCTGGATTGGAGCAGATCTTGTACTGTTGTTCAGTGTTAAACCTGTGGAATCTGATTGAATTGTAGCTGTCATATAGACGCTGGAGACAGAGAGAAAAATGATTAGATAAACGTGCACATAAAGAGACCATTTTCTGCAGTCAGTATCTGAGTGAATCTGTAAACTAATTGCGCTTCTATCATACTGAGATGCCCCACTGGTAGTCATTCCTGTGGAGAATCAATTCAACCCTAAACACAGCAGCAGATCAGGTGATGTTTCATGAACCTCTGTGGGTAATTACAGGTTGGGGTTTGAAGCCCACGTGTTTAAGGGCTGTTGTTGAAATCGACCCTTCCAAATGACAAACTAAATCACTCATTCATGAAGCCCGTGCTAGGTCTAAATGATGATAGATAATGGTAAGATATATTATGAAGATTACCTTTGATCCAAATTTTTTCTCAGCTGCCTTTAAACTTTTTAGCCTTTATTTATATAGGGCACTAGAGAGAAGACAGCTAGTAAAGGGCCTCAGGGTGTATGCAAACCCAGGCCTCTGCAATGGTCTGGGTTGCCTGTTCTACTGAACTATACCAGCACCCAGCTATCTTTAAACTTTTTTATACATGATGTTCAATACATTTTAGGTGAGCTATGACAATAATAGGCAGGGTAAAGTGGTGATCATACTTTCTGAATCCTTGCTGCTTGCAGATCTGCTTGGCTTCATTGTCATCCCACCCTTGGTTACACACTGGTAGGAAGCGGCCATCTGTGGTTGTTCTGACCTGCAGACTGTTTCCCTCACCAAACCTCACTGGAGAAGTAATAACAAGAAGGGATAACAAAAAGAATACACCTTAAATCTCCTAAGTCCATTATGTGCACATGTGACTATTAGGCAATTTTAGCTTTCATTTTGCAGAAAATGTTTAATTTGCCAAGACCTTTCTTGTGCATTCTTCTAATATATTTACCTTGTTGTTAGGCATTACATGGAGTGTATAATATGAATAAAGCCAATACAATTATACATGATTCAGATTTAAGTTGGATCCCCTAAGAATTCTTACATATATTGATACATATTCCTTCCATAGATTATTATTGTTATTTTCCAATCCTACTTCATCTTCTTTCTTTATGAGTGTGCTGATTTACCACAGTATGCTTCGTCAGTGCCATGTTGGCAGTCCTCTTTTCCATCACAAATTACAGTATTGTTTGGGCAGTTGTCCTTTGGCAAAACTGCACTTTGGGTTTTCTCATCATTGCTCCCATCATGCTCATCGTAGTGGATCGCTGATGTTGCTCTCCTGGTGCCGTACACAACTGTGGTTGGAGAGTATGTAGTAATGATTTTAAAGTAAGTAGAGGTAGAGTGTGCCATTATTGTTATACTTCACACAAACAAAATAATGAAATAAAATAAGAACAGTGATATGCATCTTAAAATTGACTTTCCATCTCACTTAATAAATATCAGCAACTATTTATGCGTACTCCAGTTAACATAAATGATTTTCAAAGTGAGCACTGCATGCAACGGACCACACAGAGAAAACATTTTGTCAGTGCCAACAAATCTCTGTGGAAGTTAAAAAATTTATATATTTCCATTCCATTTTTATTTATAGTTGCAAAATAATGTGTTATATACTGGTAATGACATTTAATAACTGAGTTTATGCTTCATACTGTTTTTAAATACCAACATACACAAAAATGAGCAAATGAAAATAGATAAATTCTTACACTCTTAGGACCACAAGGGCACAAAAATACTGTAAGTAACTGAGATTCACATGCAGATACAACAGGTTCAAATAACTTAGTTCACAAGTTTTGATGACACTGTTCAGTGATCAAAGTATACCTCCAAGCCAAATGGCCACCCCCAGCAGAGCAAGCAACAGTAGGACTGACACCGACACACCAATGCACCTTTTCTTGCTCTCACAGCATCCCTTTTTCTTCTTTGGGACTAAACACAGTCAGAACAAAAGCATATAGTGACACACATATTAATGATCGTTGGAGCGACTCTGACTCAGCATTTATTTTGTTTGTACATTTGCAATACGTGGATTTTATTCCTAGAAAATATGGGAGGAGCGGGTATAACTCACTTGTGATGGGCTGTGAGACTTGGGGAACAGCCACAGATGATGGATACCGAGGGATGTAACGTGGCTGGGTTGGGGGCATCATCCCTGGACCGAAGCCATACACCACCTCTTCATAAGACCTGAGGGGTGGCTGTGTGTGGACAGCAACAGAGTAGTAGGGAGGAGGGGGGGTGCCCTAAGAGAAAAAGACAAAAACAATGAGGGCAAAACAAATACTCTGCAAGATTTCATAGATAAAATCTCTAACTGGAATAACAAACAATGTCATGTGAAGTCTATGTCCAATATTATGTAATCACTCCTTGGGCACAAGATGTTGTTTGTTTGCTTTCTATGTTTGCTCATCTTGAGAGTAGTTTTATTTTAATGGGGAGAACCTGAACGTTCTGAATTTCAACCAAATTAAATCAAAGTTATTAATTGTTTTGCATGTCAATGAGGGAAATTCGTATTTGGTCCTCCACAGCCTAGCTAGAAACCTGACTCTGACCACCATGTGCAAGACCATGGTCAAGGTCATGCAGGGGCATAGCCAGAACTCACTCATATAGAAAATCTGTGGAGAGAGCTGAAGTTTCAAATTGCCAAGCAGCAGCCAAGAAAACTAAAGGATTTGATTCTGTAAAGAGAAGTGGGCCAAAGTGGGCCTTCCTGAGATAAGTAAAAACCTGGTGACCCCTGTGCTTGCCAACAAGGATTTTTCCAGTGTTCTAAGGCATGTTCTAAGGCATATATATTACCGGTAGGTATAATATATACAATTAGACATACATGAGCTAGAATGGTAAATCATCCATATGTGTTTCTTGTTGTTAAGACTCTGCACATTTGTGGTTGTCAAGAGTCTGCATGTAACCTATTGTCCTCCATGATATCCAAACACTGTTATCAAGTCTACACCAGCTCAACAACCTTATAGGCACAAAGAAAGAAGTGATGTATCCTGGCAACAGTGTCTAACAGATCAGATTTAGGAGTATGTTCCTCATTTCTCAGTGATATCGTCTCTGCTAGTAGCCATATCAAGAATTTCAAACAAAGGTCTTAATCCATATTTGGAGACTTGCATGGGACAAGTTGGTGCAAAATGATAGTGGGAAAAATGCACCTAAGAACAAGTTTGTTCGCTGGGTTTTTCTTAGAGGAATAAGTGGCTCAAATACTTTAATCCACATGGGTTAAAGGTCTACCATGTGTTCATTGGGAGTGACTCATGGCACAGACTACTGACTAGTTAGATAGCCATCTTAGTAAAAGAATGGTGTCTAAGCAGCTGTCAGCCGTAGTGCGTTTCCCTACTGTATCTACCAAATAACTGGTTTTGGTATCACTTCGTTGTTAGCAAGTGTTACTTTAAGTTCTCCCAAAAGTGTTGGAGGTTAATCTGGGCAAAACAAGGATGTTTCAACACTTTCTAATGCATTTTTTCTTTTTGTTTGTTTTAAGAGGGTGTGGTATTGTTTTTGGTCAACAAAAAAGTTCCAGTAAGCATTTGTCAACCTTAAGGTGTCATTGACTGGAATCACTGCATATAACAATATCTCTCTGATTGCCTTTCTACTACGGAACAATCCAGCAATCCAGCACCCTAACACTGACCCGGTGTCTCGTTTTCTTTTTTCCTAAGATGATAAAGTTAGTCTGTGGGCCATACCTCCCCATTTTTTATCAATTATTAACAATGAAAGTTTGCCCAGGTTAAAGTTTAGTGAAATGAAGGTCAGCATTAGAGCATAAGCAAACTCTTTGTCTTTGTTCACTTCCTGTCTAATTTTAAATTTGTCTCTCACCCCTGGCCCCCATCCCACACTTTGAGAATCACTGCACCAACACATGCTGTGTTTATTCTGAAAGGAATTTGGCCTGTGCTGCTAGTGTTTCAGTGTCACATGCACCATTTCCTTGAAATAGTGTGCAATGGCATTTTAGGTATGTTTTCTCTTACTGGCTAGGTGATTCAGGTGATTCTGCTACCCAGTCAGGAGCAGTAAAAAACCCTGTGAGTGTGCACAATGGACTATAATTGCCATAGGTGTAGCACTTGTGTAACATAGCATGGTGTTCATTGCCCATTGTTTCGCTTTAAAAGATGTTTGTCTATTTTTTGTCAGGGATAAATCTGAATCTGTTGGTTGAAGAAAACCCTTTTTTCTTTGTTATTTAAAATATTATTTTTTTCAATTGAATTCGGTCATAAATAATGTTGAATCTTAATTAAGCTTTAAAATTAAGATACATTTATTTATTAGAAGACTGCACTGGTTATAGACTGCAATTTTGTTTTAGAGCAAACAAGTTAAAGAAGATTCATCCTCATGTGTTCACACCAGGTATGCAGATAGAGTCAATCTTTACCTAGTTATATGGTTACAAAGTACTTAAAGTCTTATAAATTATGTCCACTGTGCTAAATCAAATTTGGGCAGAAAAATGTGAATTTGATTTGTTATTTTCTTCATCAATAACAGCATGATCTTTGGTTTTAAACCAAGTTTTCTGCTGATTTCTTCAATATTCATGTTTTCTTGTTTTAATGACCAATGGTCTGATTAATTTATTAGATTAATTTCACCGGAAATTAATGAGTAGAAAGCAGTAGAAAGCAAGTAGAAAGATATATTGATGTTCAGCAGTATCAAAACATGAGTGATGTGTATGTCACAAACCTGACACGCAAGCTTTAATTTGATTACATATCTGAAATCACTGTAAAACAATGGATAAAGACCTGGAATTTCCTACTAGCAAATAAAAATATATTTTGTAGATCAGTCTAATGAGGCAAACCTTCTACTGGTGCCTGGTTGTGTCTAAAGGTAACAAAATCTACCAACCAACATGTCACTAACTTACATGTGAAACTATTTTCAGCTAAACTAAGCAAAAGTATTTTTGTACAGCAATTAAAACGTGTGCTAATTTTAGTACTGTGCTCTTTATGCGACATGTGGGAACGCAGCTGGTGATATCAACGTTTGCAAATGCTAAATGCTCTGTGGCTGTACCTGTTTGAACACAGCATGCCTTAATCACCTGTTTCCATTATCAACTAAGCCTCTGTAGAAAGTCATACAGTGTGAAAAAACAAGTTTCTGATGAGTCATTTGACCTCCTGACATTCTTATAGCATGAAAGAGAAACATTTGTTTGTTTTCACATACATACATACATTATTTAAACTGTTTTTGTCACGTTGTAAGTGATTTCAATCCTGAAACTGCTGCTATGAGCAGTTTGCAGTTTGTGTATGAACCGCACCAAGAACTTGAGAAAAAATAAGATGTGCTATTAGGGTAGGGTCACTGGTAAATAACCGTTAAAGAAATACTTTCCTTTATGCAGTCTAAATTTTGGGCTTGACCATTGCCTTTCCTCAGCTGTTGAGACCTTTTTCTAATATCAATGTGATCACACTTCCATAAACTGGGGAGACGAGCATATAGTTCTCAAAATTTAGATTTGCTATTAAACCTGTTTCAAGTTAAGTTCAGTAAAAGTGTGAAACTGTGAAGGCAAGCATTACTCACCAACAAAGATGTATAGTTTTTTTTTTTGGTTTTTTTAAAAAGACCTATAGGCAGCATGAACCTTACTTTATTGTAATCAAATGCCTTAGCAGAATTAGGTGGAGGTATAGTCATATTTCTCAGCATAGTGCACACGGTCATATTTCACAGTTTGCTCTCAAGCTATTATTATAAATAAAAGGTGGAAAAATTAGAGGATCTATGCAACACAAAGGACAGCATCACTCACACAAACCATGTCATCTAAAATTACAAAATCCATCCATCCATTTTCTTCTGTTAGCACAGTTCAGGGTAAGCTACAACATAATCTGATATAAAATGGTAAACTAAAACTGTCCCCCTTTTTTAATCTGCCAGCCTTGTATGGGCAAAATTAATAATTCTAGATTCAAACACAACATCCAGAACATACAATGAAATGCAGAAAGCTGCAATTACAGGTATCTCTCTCTTTATTTTATCTAAAAAGACAAGAGTTAGTACAATGAAAATGTGAAGTTTAATAACATTATTTCCTCCATAATCACATCAGGAATATACACAATTTCACAGACACAGGGATTTGTTTATGTGTTCGTGCATCTATACCATATCTCTATATTACACAGTCTAAAATTGAATAAAGAATACAAATAATTGCCCATATAGACTATATAAGCCAAGACAGAAAGCCTCTATAACACCTGAAGGAAAATGAAGTCAAATCTTTCGCTCTGTAATCTCTTTACTGAACAACATTCTTCAGCCTTCTGAAGAATGCAACATATACTCACAAGCAACACAGTTCTCTAAATTCAAAACAATGCAAACTGAAGCAGAAAACACAGCCATCATTCAGGTGAACAGTAATTAAGTGGGAAGTTTGACTATTGAGTGAATACACGCCAGCAAGAATCAGAACCTACCGGGTCATGTTTATCCATTGGACTCAGGAAAGCAAAGTGTGTAGAGTGGAGGTGAGAGCAGGTGGGTGGAGCTTTTTCAGTGCAGGTTTACAAAGTCTGGAGCATGGTGGTGAAACATTAAGCACGTTTGTTCTCCTTCCTTTCGTCTCCTCTGCTTTCTACTCAACTGTGTTTCCCACTCAACTTAAACCAAGCAATAGGTAGGTAGGCCTATCTTCCCCCTCCCATCGTAATACCTCCCATGTAAATCCTTCCTTCTTTGCTTCACAGAGACGGGCGTGTCCAGTGCACCAATATCCTACCTGTCAGACCAGTTTTGTAGCAGCAGCATACTGAGATTGATTCACAGTATGAAGCTCAAATAACCTAAGCTGAGCTGTCAGGGCCCTGGACTCAACTGGCCTCTTCTTCCAAGAGTATGACATTATTTCTTTTTCAATCTGGAATTCATGGTTGTAGAATTCACCACAGTGTATTTAAACCCTGGAGACAAGCAGACTGCCCGGCCCCACAACAACAGAGCAGCCCATCAGCCTGGACCCCGAACAGACGACCAGCTCCTCCTGGCTATCTGGTCGTCTGGTCCATGACTTCTCTTGGAAGACGGCATCTCGTTCTTGGCTGGGGAAGAGAAACTCTGGGCCTTTTTTCTGACTATAGCGTCGAAGCACCAGTCAGTGTATTCCTTCAGAGCATCCAAATTCTCCTTGTTGTCCTCCAGGGTGTTGGACATTATTATGCAGATATGTGTTGTTGTCTGTCAATTTTCTGGTGTGTTTTAAGCTTCAAAAAGTGTCTGTTTAATCTTTATTCCCCCCAAGTCTCCAGCGTCTGACCTCACCTAGCATTTCCGTTCCACCTAGCATCTACCCAGGAAGACTTCTACATTATTAGTGCGATTTCTCCCTCTGAAAAATAGAGGGGGGTGGATCGATACAAATATTGATAGTTTATTTGTCAGGATCTGACGGCGCCCTGACCGGTCGACCTGCCAGTGTGTGTATATCTGTGTGCGGGTGTATGTGTCTCTCCTATCGCCCTGTCTTCCCCTCCGGCTCCGCTGAGATGTGTTAGGAGGTAACCTAGCAACAGGCTACCTCCGACCCGGAAGTGCTGTCGCCCGGAGCTGCCACACCTGCAGTCAATCCACCAGCTGCTGCCAATCAACTATCATCTTCAGCAGGGCTACTTAATGGTGTGGCTGAGCGACAGACAGCGCTGGAGTATTGCACTAAGCCTGGTAGTGTTTTCGAGTCGCTAACGTTTTGAAGTGCTGTCTGATCTTCGTACTCATTCTGCTGTCGTGTGTGTGTGTGTGTGTGCACCCAGGGATTGACGGAGGATTTACGGACACTAAGGAAGCACTTGGAGGAGAGACGGGCACTCACTACCACGCACGGGCTTACACGGAAGGAGGGACGCACTATCACCATTGTTGCACATTTGAACTGTTGTCACCTTGCTGCACTGTAAATAAATGCACTGTCATTATTTCTGAGCTCCGCGCCTGAGTCCACTCTTTAACAACCGTGACATTATTAGTATTGTTATCGGATCAATATAATATGATATGATATGATATACCTTTATTAGTCCCACAAAGGGAAATACTGGCACGATAGGATTGATACTTTGTTTCTAGCATCGTAAGATGATTCATCTCATAAATCATGACACACTGCTCTCCCCTATGTATCTGTATCGCTATTGGCAATACTGGTCCAGTATTTACTTGGTATCAGGTTGATACCAGAATTTGCAGTATTGCACAGCACTTCTTAAAAACAAAAATAAATTGAACAATATATTTTACATTGTATAATACATAATAATTACTACATTGCAAAAAAAAATGGAAATATGATACAAATTAAAATTTAAATATCCAAATTCGTATTGAATTCATTTTTTCAGAAGGTTAAATAAACATTCTACTTTCAAAAAAGAATAAAGGTAGCACTTTATATTGATGTCACACTATTAAGCATTAGTATTAAGGTATTATTAAGGTATAAGCAAGTGCTTAAATCATCATTTATGTTGAATTAGTCTGTCATTCATAAATATAGATGTGTTTTTATCTGTATTAATATTATATTTATAAATATATCTTTTACAGTTACTCCATGTACAGCTATCACTACTGTACATGGTGTAACTATGTACAGCTATCACTGCTACTACATTACTGCTAGTAATGATCATAATCATAGTCATAATAATATCTCTGTATTTATAAATGTCATAATAAGGAGGGGTAATGCTATACAAAATTATGAATTAAGTACGTGTTAATGATTTACTAATATCTTAACAGTAGTTAATACTTTGACATTATTATAAAGTGCTACCAATTTGAATTTTATGGTAATTATTTCATTGTTTGGGCTTTAAAACATTAAGCAAAATGAAATACTGGTGGCAAAATCACAAGGAACCAAATCGTGGTAATACAAGTAATTTTGGATGTGCGAGAAAGCATTTTTCTCACGAAATTGGTGCCTTTCTGCACAGATGTGGCTCCTGGGTATTTTTGATTTGCACCTGCCAGATTCACTTTATATATGATCTCTACTTCCTCTTGCAGCCACACATTTCTTCACTTGTTCTTTTTTACCCCTTTCAATTTGAAACTAAAACATAATTTTCATCGCTGTTTTCACTTTGACCGTGCAAAATGTATAACTGACAAGTCAAGTCAGGTCGGAATTTATTTCTATAGCAGATTTTAAACAACCTCAATTGTAGTACAGGTTATAAGAGATATACATATATAAGAGATATCAACTAGAACTAATAGCAAGCAAGAATAAGTAGGTTTTAAGCAGTGTTTTGAAACGGCTAAGAGAGTGGGTGGCTTTTATGTGAAATGATCGGTTGTTCCTTCAATTAGGAGCCACAAATGAAAAGGCTCTATCACCTCTGCTTTTAAGGTTTGACCTAGGAATATTGAGGAGCAGCTGGAAATGCAGCGACGCAAAAGTCAGTTGAATAAGGTGGTGCCAAACCATTGAGACTCTTGAAAATCTGAAAGTCCCACCAGGCTGATCATCCTCAGTATTTCCCACTTGGTTGGGAAATACTGGTAGGTTGGTGAAAATTAAAGAAAAAACTCAAATCTTCCCTACAGTGATGGAATCCAGCAAATGTTTTGCTTTGGGTGGCATTTTGCTGGAGTGTCTTTTGAACTTTTACACTCTTCATTACCCTCCCGATGGAATATCTTTTAAGCAAAAAAAACAGCTTCTTTTCACCTGTAGAGTTCCAGAGGCTTATAGCATCAATACAACACACAGTGAAGTTGTTATGGCAGCACATACTGGTCTAACACAATGTTAATACCAACTTTGTCTTAGTTGTGGCTTTAATTTTCTCACTCATCTGTAGTTTAGTGTAGTGGATACTATTTCTGCAAACTCTTTGCATCTCTGTTGCTCATCTTTGCTGATCCGTTGTTGAGCATGTTGCATAATATGTATCTTACAAACTGTAAACATGAATGTCTTCACGTATCCTCAGTCATCCAGGCAAGGGAATCACAGGAAGCTGATTCTGTTCATCTGGACGTTGAATTTCCTTCGGGATTAATAAAGTATTCTGATTATGATTATGATTATGAATTTACAGTTTCAGAAATGTTTCATGACTCATCCAGGTGACTTCTTCGGGCTCTGAATGCAAAATCCAGATGAACAGAATCAACTTTTTGGAAAACATGAATGTGAGACATTCGCAAACTGTAAACACAGTTTTAGATCTGAATCTAGATGATTTGTTATACGTCATCTGCCTGTTATCTTCCCCCAAGTTTCCTTTGTTGTGACTCTGCATGACTGTAAAACTGATGCGTAAAAGATAATGACCTTAAAGGAAATGTGCTTAAGTGTAATCCAGGTGTTGTAATGTAGATCTATATTATGAGACCTGATGTTCAGCATTTTAATTTGTCTGCTCATTAGTGGTTTATTCATGGCTGATATTAATGAGATACTTAATGATGCATTGAGTTTTTGATACACACTAGAGAGTATATTCACTGTTATGATGCACCTTTTCACACCACTAGAGGGTGATCTTATTGTGCATGAAGCCAAATGGCACTTATAACTTAAAAAGTGACTTGCAAGAAAGTCCCTGTTCTGAACAACAGCAGTTGATCTTGTGACCTTTTAAAAAAGACTCCCTCCCCCAAAGCTCACATTTAGTCAGCGGCTCTCTGTCCACCTGACATTATCAAATAGAGATGTGGTGTGCTTTGCAGAGACCCTGTTTGCATTTACTGGGAAGTAAAACTAAAAAGAAATCACATGAGAGGAGGAGGTGAGAAAACATGGGGGTATATATGGCTAACTTTAAGAGAAAGCTACTTCTCAGAAATGGAAGGCACTCTTTACTAAAGTATATCTAGATAAAAGCTCCTTGAATAAATCAACATCCCAGTGTATTTATCTTTGGTATAATTTAGATATTGAGGTTTGTGCTAGATCCAACCAATCCTCTTTCTCATACAGTTTCAGTGGACTAAGCATACGTCACATGCAATCACAATAAAAGAAAGAGTGTGGTACTCCCATGGGCACCAGACTCGTTCTCTTGTTGGAAAAACTGGGTAAAGCCTGAAACAGTTTAAAAAGATGAGGAAGGCTAGATGACATTGCAGGTTTAGCAGTCTATGTCCTATTTGTTTTAGGGAACTTATGTTAAGCAGTAAATCAATACCCTTTACACATTTACAGTAACGAATGAGCAGAATCCAGTAGACAGAGGAAGAAAAGTAATTTGTATGTGACGCTTTTAAACCTTGATATGCAGCAGAGACAATGATGGACACGGTGAAAAATCTGAGAATTATGCAGGAATAAGTGATTGTTAACGGTTTAACAAGGGGTATTTTTATGAGTCATTTCTTAACCAGAAATCGATATATATCTACCCATAACACACATTACGCCGTCAGCTTTCTTTGTTAATCTGCAAAACAGGAGTAATGAACTGAACTACTGAAATTTTGTGTAGGATGAGGTGTAGAGATAAGGCCTGATAGTCACTGTGGTTTCTTACGCACATAGATAAAAGTATATACTTTATTCATGTGATATTTAAAGATATAGGTTGCCTTGCATCCCTCATGTTAGATAATGTAAGTTTCTAAAGAACATGGAAAAATATTGCTGCCTAATCACACATAATAACTCGCATGCCGGCGACATATTAATATGGCTTAATGTATGATGAAGCTATATGCCTGTTATCCACACAAGCTAATGATTTATGCTTATCATCAAGTGAAGTCTGACTTTCAAGACCTTTATTTTTGATTTATTTAAGTGTTAGTACAGAAAAGTAAGCACATTCACCCAAACTGGGGCTATAATCAACACAGATCTTTAGTTGTCTCTGTTCTTCTATCTTCAGCCATGGTTAAGTGCAAAAGAAAAAAAAGAAACAACATATGCAATGCATCAAACCACAAAGGAGGTCGTGCTGAACAAAGTGTCACAGGAAAAGGTAGACAAAGCCTAAAAGAGGAAACCAGTGATAAGACGAGTTTCCTGAGTTTAAATTTTATATTTGTCAGTGAAAAAACAGAAATTACATAAACAAAAGAGTATACAAAGTGAACTGATAAACACCAGAATGAGTCTTTGATAGTAACTACTGCCTACATTTTAGGGGGGGAGGAAAGTGAAAGGGGAATTCCTGAAAGCTTCCTCTTCTCATATCTGGTGTAGACACACTCCAACTGTGTTTTTTTCTGATAGTGCTCAACACTAATTACATTATGAGCCCGGTGAGAGCATGGAAAGGGGAAAAGAAAAATCAAAAGAGGAAGAAAAAGGCTCTCTTGTTGAGAAAGGCAAGAGCAAGCGAGAGATGAAACTAGCAGCAACGTCACGGATATAGTCACAACAGGAAACTCATCATCTGAGAGGGAGGGGAGTTAGGCGAGCGACAAAGGTACTTGGTGAGAACTATGTAAATAAAGTCATTTTTGAAAAACAAGGGGCCTCTTCTTCTTCGTACCGCAGATGTGTGGGTAGCACAGTATCAGCAGAAAACAGCTGCTTCCTCCTTGTTAATATTAATCAACAGTTTAGTTTAGCTCTTCTGTACAGTTACACAGAGCCACTGTGGAGGCTGGATGTTGCTGTCGGTGATGATTGGAATAAGGGACTCTGTTGGCGACTACTAACCGGATTCTAACTAAATGGTGTATTTCCAGATACTTGAAATGGATATCAAAGCCAAATTGCTGGGTTTTGTCTTCTTAATGATCTACATGAGCCTTGTGTCAGGTAATTAAAAGCTTTTCTTACGCTCTATTTGTAATCTTACTTAGTATATCCAGTTACGGAAAAAACTCACAGTTGATCATTTACTTAAATAACGATTTAAAAAGTATTTAGAAGGTACTATATTTTTCCTTCATGATCATTTATAATATTTGTATTATTTCTATGATCAGATGAAGCCTCATACAATCATACCAG